GTTTCCGTTTATTAACGTTATATTTTAAGATCTGTGCAAGAACTCAGCTAACAGATGTTGCTGTATATCAAAGGTACTTCTAATTGTGATATAACCCAAACAGGGTTACATGCTTCATGTCTATCCTACAACCAGTATTTAAAAATGTGGCTCATGTATCATCAGGTAATTACACTTATTCACTGTCTACAGATTGCTGTGCTTTGTTTTTGCATATAATATAAGCACTGCAGTTTTATAACATTCTTCAGTCAGAATAGTTTGATTCTAAATACTACTGAAAGAAAATTGGTCAACTGTGACACGATCTAACATCTCTTGTGTTTTGCAATCCTGTGAGATAGGTTATCAGATACATATTTTTTATATGAGGCTATAAATTGAAGATATTATATCAAAGTAAAACATAATTTCCATATGTACTTCTAATTGTGAAATATCTCAAACAAGGGTACATGCGTCATGTTTACCCTACAACCAGTATTTAAAAATGTGCTCACGTACATCAGGTGATTACAGTTATTCACTGTCTACAGATCGCTGTGCTTTGTTTTTGCATATAAGCAGTTTTGGGACTGGTTGTTGGTGGCAACACTGCAGTGAACCACATCTTTAAATATTAGTTCAAATACACTCACTTTATAGGTTCATAAAACAGGATGTTATATATCACTAAGTACTTCTAGCTTCATTATTGATGATCGTAAATCTAATTTATGCTAAACTGTTCATAAAAGGTTCATAAAACAGGATGTTATATATCACTAAGTACTTCTAGCTTCGTTATTGATCATCGTAAATCTAATTTATGCTAAACTGTTCATAAAAGGTTCATAAAACAGGATGTTATATATCACTAAGTACTTCTAGCTTCGTTATTGATCATCGTAAATCTAATTTATGCTAAACTGTGTAAGGCATTACTGATCAAGTAGTAATGAGTAGGTACATGCAATGTAAAACTTTTGGATTATGACTATCAGGCTACTCATGACATGTCAAAATATCTAAGCAATACAAGTTGAATAGGGGTTGAAATACAGTGGTCAAAGGTCAAAAACTGGCATGAGTATAATGAGCCAAAATAATATAGTAGTGTAAGTATGATACAAGGGGTGAATTTGTACTTTCTAAGGCCGTGCTTTATGCTCATTATGTGTTCTACTATGCAAGGCAAAAGAAATAATCAAATAGTCATTTAGAGTGACCTTTATAACATAAATATCTCCAGATGAAATGAAATTCAATTCATTTCCTAACAGAACACAAAGAGTCAAACAAAGCCATATACGTAAAAACACGTCTTAAACATCAAATTCATCTCTTATATCACATTCAGAGTACTATGTTATTTTACCTCATTATGCTCACATACTTCTTGATCTTTGACCCCAAAATTTCAACTCCTTCCTATCGTGTATTGATTAGATTTTTGTATGTGAAAATGTACTTTATGAAGACCTGTTTCTGTTAAAAACAGATTAAAACGCTTAAAGCTGTAGATTTGGCTTTATGTTAAATCATAAATTCTGGTATATTTACTTTTTTTCAGTAAGCATTATATATACGTTTTAAACTTCCTCTATGTTAAACTATGTAACATTTATTGCAGTTTTAAATTTATTAATAAAATTATTTTCATAAAATAACCATATTCTTTTCTGGAAAAATATAAAATAGAGATATTTCGAAAAAAAAGTTCTTGTTTCCCGAAAGGGGGCTGAAGGCTGCCCGGAGGGGTCACCTCTTTTAACCACTATACAATAGTGTCTTGTCCATCAGTCAAAAGAAACTAAAATGACATCACATAAGAGACGCTTAACATTGTAATTTGTACTGACATGAGATGTGCATGTCATGAATCACAAGAAGAATTATGCAGACTGTAGTCTACAGCACAGCATAACATATGAACTTCAAAAGCAAGAGATAAAAATATTTGCTACTCTTAATTTTGGTTTTATTTACTCTTTCAGGGATCCTGCAGAAGTACTTCTGGTAAATTATATTTTCCCCTAATACACTTATAATGCATTTGTTAATAGGTAACGGGCAGTTATTTGCATTTTTGAAATGCGATTTATAAATTCATTCTTTAACATAAGTTCACTATTCCTCCAACACACATTTGCATACAACAAGTACAAGATAATACATAAATAGCATTATTTGAATTACAACTAAATCTAGATCTTATAAAACAATATTTTCTCCCCAGTAGGTTCTGTAATATATTTAGTGTATGTAATATAACCTTTCCCACAAATGCAACAGGAAAAAGTACTTTCAACAAATGTCTTTGCTATATTTGGGTTGTTTTTGTGATATGATTTTTTTTTATTTCCAAACTTCTTGGATATCATTAATTTTAATTTCAGGGAAATTAATTATTATGAAAGGAATAATTTGTACTTCTTGTATATTATCCTTATGATTAGTTACTTTCTTTTTTAATTTTAGCTAACTTAAAACCTCTCTCTATTACACTTTCAGGATAATGGCACTTCCTAAGGTAAGATTTTAACTCTGTGCTTTAGTTAAAGTTACTTACTTGCTTCCACACATTCAACTGGTCCAAGAGTAAATCGTGCTTCAGAATCTGATGGCATGTCACGAGGTTGTAGTACATAGAGCCTAGTGATGCCTAGGTCTTTATTTTTGGTGAAGGTACCCTCATCGTATCTCCAACGGTCATCACCAGCATCACAGTTACATTTCAGAGTTGAATTGGCACAGCTGTAGTTTACCCCGCACTTGCAGCGATCTGGACTAGAGTCGCCAAAACTGGTGACATAACGTCCCTCCACGGTAGATGTCATCCACGTGTAGGATCGTAAACTAACATGAAATTATAAGCAAAAATTTTATGTTTAAATACAACAAACAAATTTAACAAGATACATCAAATACCTTAAAAATAAAGTTATCTAAAATCCATCCATACAAATCTCCACCATTTCTACATCATATCTTGCTAAAAGAACAATAATTCATTTCCTGAATCACATGTAGTTAGTTCTCACTCAACAGTTAGTTCCACTCAACAACACTATTCTATTTTCAATCCCAGGCTACACTAAGTGCAATGAGCTAATTTAAACAACATTTTTCTGAAACTTTCCAAACCAAACCACACTGTTCAAACATTCTTAATTGAACATAAATACATTTTCCAGTACTATTATTACCAAGTTTATAACATGCCCCCGCTCCCCCAAGAAGAAGAAAATTATCAAACTTGTTGATCCCAACTAAACTCTTCTAAAAACAAATTGTTTCCTAAAACGACACCCATATTCCCGTTAGAACAAATGTTTAAATTCTTAATGTTTACTCTTCTAAAAAATTTGTGTCCTAAAACGACACCCATATTCACGTTAGAACAAATGTTTAAATTCTTAATGTTTACTCTTCTAAAAAACAAACTGTGTCCTAAAACGACACCCATATTCACGTTAGAACAAATGTTTAAATTCTTAATGTTTACTCTTCTAAAAAACAAACTGTGTCCTAAAATGACACCCATATTCACGTTAGAACAAATGTTTAAATTCTTAATGTTTACTCTTCTAACAAACAAAATGTGT